CACTACTTTAATATTTTTTTTCACCTGGCTTTTCCAGTGTGAAAAATTAAACTCTGGATCTAACTTTTGAAGGGCTAATCCTGCTGTCTTGCATCCTCACTGATTTCGTCAAGGAGGTTTTGGTGAATTTAGATTCTTCTGCCTCAAAATAGCTTTGCCTCTGGCTTTTTAGTGTCATCACACTTTCCCAAATTATCCTGGTTGTTAACATTTAGAAAAATAACCAGACATATGTTGTAATCATCCTTTTATTAAAAAAAGATGTCACCTCCTCCCGGTGGCACCAGTTTTGGCAGTGGTTGAGGTTCATGAAGAGCTGAGAAGTTAAAGATTCTGCTAGTGGTTCCTGTGTGAATTAGTTACATCTGGCAGTGGGGCCGTAGCACACAGCTGTCAGGAAATGGTGGCCCAAGAGGTGAGGGAATGAGACTGGGGCCAGGGCTGCTGCATGTGGTTATGGAGGCCATAACTGGGAGTGGAACCCAATTATTCGATGACACCTATCGAAGCAAAAGCACAGTACGGCAGGCTTTATTCAGGACTATCACAATAGGCTTAGGGGGCCTGGAGCAGGGGCTGATGCCTGTAATCCCAGCACTTTGGGAGGCCGAGGTGGGCAGTTCACTTGAGGTCAGGAGTTCAAGACCAGTCTGGCCAACATGATGAAACCCCGTCTCTACTGAAAATACAAAAATTAGCTGGGCATGGTGGTATATGTAATCCCAGCTACTCGGGAGGCTGAGGCAGGAGCATTGCTTGAACCCAAGAGACGGAGGTTGTAGTGAGCCGAGATCGTACCACACTCCAGCCTGGGCAACAGAGCAAGACGCCATCTCAATAACAAAAAACAATAGTCATAGGGACCACTGCAATGGGATTTTGCGGTAGTGGAGAAAGATTGGGCTCAACTCCAAATATATTATGGGCAAGTGGGAATTTATAGCCAAGGAGGAGCAAAGTGGGAGTTAGTGGATGGAAAATTACTAAGAAGAAACTTCAGGAGGAAGGGAGATTCTGGCTAAACCAACTTAATGGGATTCTTGCAGAAGACGGACCAGCCAGGATGATCATACATCACCTGGGCAATGGTAGAGGATGAAGAACCCGAACAATATCAAAGGTGGGAGGTTCTTGCTAAAACTGGATTTTGCAAGAAAGTGCACAGATGGGCCTAAGAAAAGATTCAGGAACCTGACTGGTACAGAATCTTTGTCAAGTGCTTACTTAGAATATGTAATTCTCTGGCTGGGCACGATGGCTCACGCCTGTAATCCCAGCAGTTTGGGAGGCTGAGACAGGCAGATCACTTGAGGCTAGAAGTTCAAAACCAGTCTGTTCAACATAGTGAAACCCCATCTCTACTACAAATACAAAAAGTTAGCCAAACGTGGTGGCACACAACTATAATCCCAGCTACTCAGGAGATAAGGGAAGAGAATGGTTGAACCTGGGAGTCGGAGGTTGCAGTGAGCTGAGTTCTCGCCACTGCACTCTAGTCTGGACAACAGAACGAGACTCTGTCTCAAAAAAAAAAAAAAAAAAAAAAAAGAGGCTGGGCGTGGTGGCTCACGCTTGTAATCCCAGCACTTTCGGAGGCCGAGGCAGATAGATCACCTGAGGTCAGGAGTTCGAGACCAGCCTGGCCAACATGGTGAAATCTCCATCTGTACCAAAAAGTACAAAAATCAGCCAGGCGTGGTGGCGAGCGCCTGTAATCCCAGCTACTTGGGAGGCTGAGGCAGGAGAATCACTTGATCCTGGGAGATAGAGGTTGCAGTGAGCTGAGATTGCACCACTGCACTCCAACCTAGGCAACAAGAGCAAAACTCTTTCTCAAAAAAAGAAAGTAAGCCGGGCGCCGAGGCTTACGCCTATAATCCCAGCACTTGGGGAGGCCGAGGCAGGCAAATCACCTGAGGTCGGGAGTTCGAGACCAGCCTGACCAACATGGAAAAACCCCATCTCTACTAAAAATACAAAATTAGCTGGGCGTGGTAGCACATGTTTGTAATCCCAGCTATGCAGGCAGGAGAATCGTTTGAACCTGGGAGGTGGAGGTTGTAGTGAGCTGAGATCATGCCATTGCACTCCAGCCTGGGCAACCAGAGCGAACCTCTCTCAAAAAAAAAAAAAAAAAGTAACTCTCTGGGTTTCATGGCTATATAGTCTCAAAATTCTTATAGTCTTTATTAAGTGTACTTCTACTATTTTAATTATTAAATTTCTATTTTATTCTGACATACTACTTACAATTTAAAAGAAGACATCATGGGCCATCAGTCCATTCCGAGCTGCCTAAAAACATCCAGTAGTACTGGGAATAGCAGAGTTTTGCCTGGTGTGTGACAGGGGCATCCATTTAGAGGCAGCCATCTCACTGGTCAGTTCAGTTTGTATTTGGCTGGTCTCTGTTAAATGTGTCTTAAATAAACAAGTTCCCTTTTTGGCAATGGTGGCAGACATATGGAATGCAGGGTCTGGCAAAAGCTGTGTCAAACCAGAGCCTTAAGTTACTTAGCAGCTAACATCACTGTCACTGTCATGGCAGAGGAAATACCTTCCAACTGGGAAACAAAAGTTATCCTGCTGCCAGGAGACAAATATAGTCATCACTTATTCTACCAGAAGAAAGAGTGGTGCTTATTGCTTTGCTGAGCAAGGAACTCTTGCATCCAAATTATATCAGTCACTAAACTGGTCAAAACAAAAGCAAAAAAGATAACCATAGAGGATGTTTAACTATTCTGCTTTGAATACATTATTCATGATGTGTAAATAAATGTATTCTATAGCCCTGCCTGATAGCAGATAGCCTAATGATTTTCAAAAGTGTTAAGTGGCTTTATTTTATCATAGTACATGTGAGTGCTGATTGAAGCAAGCTGTTGGGAGGTGAAATTTGGCTGATATCCATTTGGTTTCTGGAGATGTTCTGAGTGATTTTCTGGATTAGAGCTTATAATACTATGAGAACTAAATACTCTTATTTTATATGATACTAATTAAGTATACAAGTTAATCCTTTAGTTACTGGTGTGAGTAGTTGGCTCCTTTGGGCTAATGTGACTGTTGGATCAATAAACTTAGTCCCAGGTACTGAGTCCTAAGTGAAGGGATTTTTAGCGTTGATTAAGCATAACAGGATTGGACTTCTTCAAAATAGCCATCCTTTAGAAAAAGAATCCTTTCACATACTTTAAGTTATCTGTGAGGTTTTTGGCTGTCCAGAGTTTAAAAAAAAAAAAAAAAAATCATGGTTAATATACATATTTTAGGGGCAGGTGTTGAAAAGATCAGTGGAAGGAACAGTACCTTTTTTGGTTGATTTCATTTGCCGGTAAATTCCTGAAGGGAAAGCAGTTGGAAATAAAGGTAAGGGAAGATAAGGCCTATTAGTCATTTACCCAAACTTTCCTTTCAGATTTTAATTAAAACTGCTATTTCTAAAACAGAAAAAAAATCTTTGTTTTTGAATTCTCAAGGACTGTGGAACAGATTTCACTCTGTTTTACTTATGTCTTGAGGCCCACCCTTAGGGGACAATGAAATCTAGGCAAATACTTATCTCCTACCCCACCCTTTCCAAGTCCTCTGGAGTAATAGGGTGTGGTGATATTGACATATATTAAAACATGGTACAGATAGTCTAGAGAACAGTAAATGAAAAATAATACGTGAAGAGAAAGATTCTTTTTTTTTTTATTTTTATTTTTTGAGACAGAGTCTCGCTCTGTCGCCCAGGCTGGAGTGCAGTGGTGCGATCTCGGCTCACTGCAAGCTCTGCCTCCCGGGTTCACGCCATTCTCCTGCCTCAGCCTCCTAAGTAGCTGGGACCACAGGTGCACGCTGCCACACCTGGCTAATTTTTTGTATTTTTGGTAGAGACGGGGTTTTACTGTGTTAGCCAGGATGGTCTCAATCTCCTGACCTTGTGATCCGCCCGCCTTGGCCTCTCAAAGTGCTAGGATTACAGGCGTGAGCCACTGCGCCTAGCCAAGAAAGATTCTTATTTGTGAAAAGTGTAAACCCTGGTGAATTTATTGAGAGGTTGGCAAGCGGGAGGGGAGAATTTCAGGTCCAGAGTTAAAATGTTTCATTAATTCTATATGCCAAATGCATTGCAAAAGAAGTTTTATGTGCAATATCTAATTAAAGTCTCATAACTATTATACTTACTTAGCAGATGAGGAAAATCAGTCTGGCCGGAGGAAACACAGTAAATAAGGAACAAGGGCTTGGATCCAGGATTCTGATTATCAAGCATGTGCCTGCCAGTCACGGTGGCTCATGCCTATAATCACAGCCCTTTGAGAGGCCCTAGTGGGAAGATTGCTTGAGCTCAGGAGTTCAAGCCAGTCTGAGCAACATGGTAAAACCTCGTCTCTACAAAAAATACAAAAATGAGCCTGGCATGGTGGCACACGCCTATAGTCCCAGCTACTCGGGAAGTTGCCATGAGCTGAGATTGGGCCACTGCGCTCCATCCTGGATGACAGAGGGAGACCCACAACACGTGCCTCTCTCCACATGCCTCACCTAGGACGCACCAGCTGTGGGGAAATGATAACTGAAAGTGGACAGTGGGACTCTTAAATCCAGAATAAAATTAGCTTAGGTCTCCTGGGGACTTTTAAAATAAATGGATTGTGTTTATATTGATGGTATTGGAATAATTCTAAAGACTATTTAGAATTTTGTTACAGTTTCCAGACACCTGCTTAGTATAATTGCTAAGTTTAGAGATCAAACTAAAAGGTTTACGATAAATATCATTTGGTATATTTGAATATCAAAGAATTGTCTCAGCCACGATTTTTTATTTTTAATTTCCTATCTAAGTGAGTGGGGTAGGAGGAAGGGGGTACTTTCGATTTGTAATTCTGCATGGGAAAAACAGCTGTGCAATCCGTATCATTTTAGGGAAGAGGGGGACTGGGGATAAAAGCTTGTTATCAAGTTACATGTGTATGTATTGTTTTCCCTGCTCTGGACTGTAATAGGATTTCCGGGATGCAGTAGCTCATGCTTCCAGGCAACTTGGGAAACCAGTGATTGAGGACCGGATTCTAAATCAGATCCTATACTACTTGCCTCAGCTGTATGAGCTCAACCGGGATCTCCTGAAGGAACTGGAGGAAAGAATGTTGCACTGGTAAAAATGGACTGTTTTCAGATTTTCCTAGTGTTTCCAATTTTAGATGAAGCCGTAAGGGCCCCACATGTGACAGAGATGTATTGTTCATTACATTGAGTTGCTTCAATATATTGTCTTTGCAGTTACCCATAGATTGATTTTGTTGTGTTTTGTTTTGTTTTTGAGATAGATTCTCACTCTGTCGCCCAGGCTGGAGTGAAGTAGCACAATCTTGGCTCACTGCAACCTCTGCCTCCCAGGTTCCAGCGTTTTTACAGGCGTGTGCCACCACGCCTTTCTAATTTTTTGTATTTTTAGTAGAGATGAGGTTTCACCATGTTGGCCAGGCTGGTCTCAAACTCCTGACCTCAGGTGATCTGCCTGCCTCAGCCTCTAGTGCTGGGATTACAGATGTGAGCCACCGTACCTGACCAGATTGATTATTTTCAGTGGCCCAAAATTCACAACCTTGGCACACCAAGCTCAATACTATTATTTTGAACAAATCTTTGGTAATGCTGCCTCAGAAGCAACATACAGCCAATTTATATTTCTGTAGGTGAACTTGGGCAATCAAGGTTTTTGAGATTAAGTGTGGATAGATACTGTATTCACATTGGAATAGTTTCTAAATGTTTTATTTACCTTCTGGAGCTGCAGGTCGTGAAACTCCCTTTCTAGTTTTGAAAAAGAGGCCATTCACTGAAGTAATAGGATAGTTGTTTTGGAAAGGCAATTTTTTTTCTTTTGAGATGGAGTTTCACTCTTGTTGCCCAGGCTGGAGTGCAATGGCGCGATCTCAGCTCACTGCAACCTCTGCCTCCCGGGTTGAAATGATTCTTCTGTCTCAGCCTCCTGAGTAGCTGGGATTACAGGCGCATGCCACCATGCCTGGCTAATTTTTGTATTTTTAGTAGAGATGGGGTTTCATCATATTGGTCCGGCTGGTCTGTAACTCCTGACCTCAGGTGATCCGCCTTGGCCTCCCAAAGAAAGGCAAATTTATATATGTATGACATCCTTGTAGAAGCTGTAGATTTCAGAATAGGAAAAGAATACCAAAAGGTTAGTATTGGGAGCCACTTCCACTAGGCTGAAGAAAATAAGTATGCAGAGGCTTTGGTGACTTCTGTGGAAATAATGTAGAAAGATTGGTCTAGGAGGATTGAATTTATTGTTGAAGACCATGGGGAGCACAACATGATTAGAACAAGACAACAGCGTCACCTACTTTCACGATCAAAATTTCTCTAAGCTTTCTTTATATATAAATCAGAAAAGTACCTCTGCTTGTTTTGGAAATATTTTGCCTCCTCTATATGTTGGGTAAATATGGCACATAAGCAATTTATACTTAGCTGTAGCCTAAGTATAAAATAACACACAATTAAGGACTGAGGAATGACTAAAATGTAGTCTTTAAAAGTCATGATAGACCGAGCGTGGTGGCTCATGCCTGTAATCCTAGCACTTTGGGAGGCTGAGGCGGGTGGATCACTTGAGGTCCAGGAGCTCGAGACCAGCCTGGCCAATATGGCAAAACTTCATCTCTACTAAACTTACAAAAATTAGCCAGATGTGGTGGCAGATGCCTGTAATCCCAACTACTTGGGAGGCCGAACTGGGAGGCGGAGGCTGCAGTGAGCCAAGATTGTGCCACTGCACTCCATTCTGGGCGACAGAGCGAGACTCCTTTAAAAAAAAATGTCATGATAGAAATAAAATATAATTTGCCAGGCGCTGTGGCTCACGCCTTTAATCCCAGCATTTTGGGAGGCCAAGGCAGGCAGATAAGCTGAGGTCAGGAGTTGGAGACTAGCATGGCCAACGTGGTGAAACCTTGTCTCTACTAAAAAATACATCTTTTTTTTTCTTGTTTTAAATTAAAAAAAAAAAAAAAAACAAAACCCACAAAAAACGGGGCTTATTTACTTCCGATCTTTTTTTTTTTTTTTTTTAATTTAATAAGAGACAGAGTTTCACTCTCTTGCCCAGGCCAGGGTTCAGTGGTGTGACCACAGCTCACTGCAGCCTTGACTTCATTGGGCTTAAGTGATTCTTCTACCTCAGCCACCCAGGTAGCTAGGACTGCAGGCATGTGCCACCATCCCTGGCTAATTTTTTAGATTTTTTGTAGAGACAGTTTGCTCTGTGTTTCTCTGGCTGATCTTGTGCTCCTGGGCTCAAGTGATCCCCTTGCCTCAGCCTTCCAAAGTGCTAGGGTTACAGGCATGAGCCACTGCACCCAGCCTCATTTTCTATTTATTAAAATACTTTTCTCTTAGGGTTCAAGTCAATACATATTCTTTGGTGTTAGTTGACTTTCTGAAATTACGTTTTTCCATTGACTTTTAACAACAATTGATGAAATATTTTATTTTCACATTCAAGAAGGTTTGCATATCTACTATGTGCTAGTCTGTGTTCTCAGTATGCAGAGGATATCACAGTGCACAAAACAGACATCCTGCTTTCATGGAGCAGACATTTAATAGGGGAAGGACCAAATAAATAGATAAGAAAACTATCAGAAGCAGTTTCTGAGTTGCAGAGACCTGAAACAGGGTGCTGTGGTAGCGAATGAAGCTTGGGTGGTCAAGGAAAGCCCTCTGTGAAGGTGGTGTCTTCATTACAGTGACATCTGAAAGAGAAGGAGGAGCCAGCCAGGGTTCTATATTTCCAGGCATGTGGAACCGTTAGTGGAAGTCTGCATAGTGGCAATTAATTCCATGTCTCCAAAGAAGATAAGGCCAGTGTGGTGGGAGATAAATGGGGAAGAGAAAGAGAAGTGTGACGGGTCAGAAAGGGCAGGCCTTTGTGTGCCAGGTAAGGAGTTTTTCTTCTTTTTCTTTTCTTTTTTTTTTTTTTGAGACAGAGTCTCACTCTGTCTCCCAGGCTGGAGTGCAGTGGCGCAGTCTCAGCTCAGTGCAACCTCCATCTACCAGATTCAAGTGATTCTCCTGCTCAGCCTCCCGAGTACCTAGGATTACAGGCGCCTGCCACCACGCCCAGCTAATGTTTATATTTTTAGTAGGGACACGGTTTTACCATGTTGGCCAGGCTGGTCTAAAACTCCTGATTGCAAGTGATCTGCCTGTCTCAGCCTCCCAAAATGCTGGGATTACAGGCATGAGCCACCGTGCCCAACCAAGGAGTTATTTATTTATTTATTTATTTTTGAGACGGAATCTCACTCTGTTGCCCAGGCTGGAGTGCAGTGTCGCTATCTCGGCTTACTTCAACCACCCCCTCCTGGGTTCAAACGATTCTCCTGCCTCAGCTCCCAGATACCTGGGATTACCGACACGCACCACCATGCCCAGCTAATTTTGTATTTTTAGTAGAGACTGGGTTTCTCCATGTTGGTCAGGCTGGTCTCGAACTCCTGACCTCAGGTAATCTGCCTGCCTTGGCTCCCAGCGTGCTGGGATTACAGGTGTGAGCCACTGCGCCCAGCCATGACAAACATTTTTTTAAGACTCTCTCCTTGTGCTGAAGAATGGTTTGGAGAGGGCAAGAATGGAAGCAGGGAAACCAGTGAGAGTCCAGGCAAGATGTGATGGTGGCAGTGGAAATGGTGAAAAGTAGGCATTTTGAGGTATGTTTTCCAAGAAAAGAAAAAAAGATAAGTTGATGGCTTAGATGTGGACTCTGCTTATCATTAGATATGTTAATCACTCTCTTTATATTTTTTGTGTATCTCTTCTCTGTCCATAGGACTGAACAACAAAGAATTGCTGATATCTTTGTAAAAAAGGGACCATATCTAAAAATGTATTCCACATACATCAAAGAATTTGATAAGAATATAGCCTTGCTGGATGAACAGTGCAAGAAAAATCCAGGTTTTGCTGCTGTTGTTAGAGAATTTGAGGTATTTGCTACCATCTAATGTTGAACACTTCTCTTTTTGTTGTTGAAACTTTAATAAGTTGCAGTCATTGAAAACAAAGCTTGCAAACAAACATGTTAAAAAGTAATCCCTTCAAAATCAAAGATGGAATTGAACAATTTAAATGGTGGGAACTCAAGCAATGTACACGGCTTACTTTTGAAAATCTATTATTGCACATGGGAATATTTTGACTTGGAAATAATTTTTTTTTTTTTTTTGAGACAGAGTCTTGCTGTGTTGCCCAGGCTGGCGTACAATGGCGCATACAATGGCTCACTGCAACCTCCATCTCCTGGGTTCAAGCGATTCTCCTGCCTCAGCTTCCCGAGTAGCTGGGATTGCAAGCACGTACCACTACACCTGGCTAATTTTTTGTATTTTTAGTAGAGATGGGGTTTTGCCACATTGGCCAGGCTGGTCTCGAATTCCTGACCTCAGGTGATCCACCCTCCTCAGCCTCCCAAAGTGTGTTGGGATTACAGGCGTGAGTCACAGTGCCTAGCCAGAAAGAATATTTTGATGGGACTTTTTTCACTGTGGTAAAATACATATAACACAAACTTACCATTTTAACAATTTTCAAATATATAGTTCAGTAATGTCAAGTACGTTGACCTTCTTATGCAACCAGATCTCCAGAACTCTTTTCATCTTGCAAAACTGAAAACTCTATAGGCATTAAACATTAACTCTCCATTCTCTCTTCCCTCCCAGCCCTTGGCAACCACCATTCTACTTTCTGACTCAATGGACTTGATTAAGGAACATTTCTTAACTTTTAATTTAACTTATTCTTTTATCCTAACAACTAACTTACAGTGATGGATGGGAAATAGAATTTATGTTTCCCTTTAGATAAATAAATAACATGGCTTTGGTACCAGAGTTAAGAGAAAGTAATAACCTGTTTAGAGTATGTGTCAGCCAAAGCTTTGACTTTTGACTCAGAGCTGTGAGTGTGGAACCCTGATTTAATTAGAGATAAAATCACAAGTCCCCTCCACCAATTTGGAGTAAAATTTGAGTACTGTATTTTAATACTTACTTGTTTTGAAGCTTAAAAGATCGATGAATTCCAGTCAGACAAAACTAGAAATAAAAAGGATTTTTGTTTGTTTGTTTTTGTTTTTGTTTTGGGATGGAGTCTACCTCTGTCACCCAGGCTGGAGTGCAGTGGCGTGATCTTGGCTCACTGCAACATCTGCCTCCCAGGTTCAAGTGATTTTCCTGCCTCAGCCTCCCAAGTAACTGGGATTTCAGGCGTGTGCCACCATGCCCAGCTAATTTTTGTATTTTTAGTAGAGACAGGTTTCACTATGTTGGCCAGGCTGGTCTCAAACTCTTGATCTCGTGATCCACCCACCTTGGCCTCCCAAAGTGCTGGGACTACAAAACCACCTCACCTGGCTGAAATGAAAAGTTTTTAAAATATTATGGTATTGCTGATTTCTGATTTGTGCAGTAGACAAATAATTAAACTTTAAAGTCATCTGTAATTTTTTCTTCTTTTCCTCTCCTCTGTTGTCTTTGTGCTATCAAAAAACAAAGTGTGATGTAATTGTGGCAAGTGATGATTGACCCAGGTTTTGGTAAGAGTCCAGTGAGTTGTTGTGTTACCTTGTTAACAAAAGAAAACAGGGAACCATAAAGCCGGGAGAATTAGCCATCTGAGTTAATGATGCTTGAAGGAAAGATACTTTGTTAACATGCGTTATCATTATAATTTTGTAATCACTCTGTGTACCAGACAGTGGTGGTACATATTTAGAAAATGATAAAAGTCTGAGCAAATCTGACAAAACTTATCCACCAACTTGTGCTATGTTAGAAGCATGATATTTTTTTGTAGTTCTTAGGATGTAGGGACATTTTCACTTGGCCTTTTTGATGCCACCCTACAGTAAACTCTTAGGTTGGAGAATGAGGCTGAGGCTCAGGAATGGGCTGAGATAGATGTCTGTTGTACATACTAAGGAAGAGAGGTTTCAAGGGATAACCATATCTCTTTGTATTCAAACCAAAATGGGGTTCCACAATCTATGTTCCTATAAACGCTGTGATTTGGGGGCTATCTTTTTATAAGGCCATTCTGCAAAAGACTTTTACATTCTTCAGACTTCTTAAAGAACGGATACTTAGCAAGGCCACTTTTCAGGTTATCTTTACTTTCTACAGTTCTCCCCGCCACCACTATTATTTTGACTATATTGACCACAAGGCTCTGATTATTATTTGAATCCAATTCCTGGCAGTTGTATTTCTGCTGCCGTATTTTGGGGGCCATGCATTTCCTTGGTCCATTGGGATTTGTTTGTATTTATCAATACAAGTGGGAGCTGCTGGGTAGGGTGGGCTCTAACTAGCCTAGGACCCAGACTGTGGCTACCACGCTGTTTGAAGGGTTGTTAACAAGTTTTCCTAGGAGCAAGTGATTTCAGGGACTGCCTACAGGAAAGGGTGGAGGTTGGTGGTCAATCTGGCTGGGGTTCACTCTCAGTGTGTCTAACAGCTGTACCTTAAAATAAAAGAGAGCCTCTCTCCTAATCTCCTTCCAGAGTTGCTTGATGTTTAAAGTTTGGTTTCCTGAGCACTTGAATCCGGGTCCCTTGCTTCTTAGAAAACACTATGTTTATTTTGGATGCCTTCTCCTTTCAGATGAGCCCTCGCTGTGCTAATCTGGCCCTCAAGCACTATCTGCTGAAGCCGGTTCAGAGGATCCCCCAGTACAGACTGTTGCTGACAGGTGGGCTTCTCCAGCATTTTGCCAACACCCAGTTGGTTTATCTATCATCCAACTCTTCTTGCCTTTATGAAACTCTGCCTTTCCTAATAGTGTGTCTCTTTGTATATCACCCCAGTCACCATGTTGCCTAATATGTGGATTTGTAGATTGCTTATGTACCTAACATATACAGTTGCCCGAACTGAACAGCTTTCGGTTCTTTGATCGTCCATCCATGTGTGCATTTTCACCCCAGGGCATTCATATATGTAGCTATGTTTTATTCAGAACATCTTTGACCATCCCAAGCCCATACCCCTGCATCATTTTACCTGTCTAATATTAATTCCAAGAAGGTACTTTTGCCAGGTGCAGTGGCTCATGCCTGTAATCCCAGGCATTTGGGAGGCTGAGGCTGGCAGATCACGAGGTCTGGAGTTCGAGACCAGGCTGACCAACGTGGTGAAACCCCATCTCTAATAAAAATTCAAAAATTAGCTGGGTATGGTGGCACACGCCTGTAATCCCAGCTACTCAGGAGGCTGAGGCAGGAGAATCACTTGAAAACGAGAGGCAGAGGTTGCAGTGAGCTGAGATTGTGCCATTGCACTCCAGCCTGGGCAGGCGACAGAGCAAGATTCTCTCTCAAAAACAAAAAGAAGGTACTTTCCCCAATTACTCAAGAATGGAGTTTAGAGGGTCACTCCCACATATTTATATAGCGCTATGATAGCCCTAGTTACTTGCCTCAGAAGGTTGTTATAAGGTTTGATTAATGAGCTAAATGTGGACAGTGCTTAGAATAGTACTATAGCTGGTGCAGTGGACACGCCTGTAGTCCTAGCTACTGGAGAGGCTGAGGTGGGAGGATCTTTGAGCCCAGGAGTTTGAGACTATCCTAGGCAATATAGTGAGACTGCTATCTAAAAAAAACAGGAATAATGCTTTAATTATAACAAGTTCGAGGCTGGGCGGGGTGGCTCATGCCTGTAATCCCAGCACTTTGGGAGGCCGAGGAGGGCGGATCACGAGGTCAGGCATTTGAGACCAGCACGGCCAAGATGCTGAAACCCCGTCTCTACTAAAAATACAAAAATTAGCCGGTGGTAGAGGGCACCTGTAATCCCAGCTGCTCGGGAGGCTGAGACAGAGACTCGCTTGAACCCGGGAGGCAGAGGTTGCAGTGAGCCAAGATCACACCACTGCACTCCAGCCTGGGTGAAAGAACAAGGCTCTGTCTCAAAAAAAAAAAAAAAAGTTCTACTAAGTATTACCTTCTATTAGTATTAGTAATAGTATTCTTATCATGATAGTTATTTCCTTATCATGATAATAGTCTATCTTCTACTAAACTGTAAGCTTCAAGATCATAGAACTATGTCTGTTTAGTAAAGAAAAAAGAAGGAAAGAAAAAAGCAAAAACACTATAAGTGAAGGAACATGCTGTAATCAGGCCTTTGTATTCACTGGCTCTTTAAATCCTTACCATAGCCTTGCAAATACCAGTTTAATCTTCACAGATGAGGTAACAGGTTTATTGAGATTAAGTAGTCTGGTACCACAAAAAGACAAGTGTAGTCTCAGTACCAAACATAGTTACCCAACACCTACTACTAGGTTCTCTGGAATATTTGCTGAACTGTATTGGGTGTACAGTGACTTAACATGCGTATATAATATGCATTAAAATTGTATCAAAATGGACAAGAACATCAAAATGTGGCAACGACTGTAAAGTCAATGTGTTCTAATTTTCTATAAGTAAATTTGGAGGTACTTGGTTTCTGTTACTCTCCTTAATAAATGGTATGTTTGGTTTTCTTCTTTACTTCGCTCTCTTAAGCCAAGAGCTATATTGGAGGTAATAGGTGAATCCTGAAAAACCAGGATTTCCTCATTACTCTTTAGGCAAACGTTTCAGCAGTTCAAAGCTTGCCTAGTGACAGACTGCTCACGAGGAAGGACCTACCTTTTAGCCCCAGGACAGGCTGGAGTGCAGTGGTGCCATCTCGGCTCGCTGCAGCCTCCATCTCCCAGGTTCAAGCGATTCTCCTGCCTCAGTCTCCAGAGTAGCTGGGATTACAGGCATATGCCACCATGCCTGGCTAATTTTTGTATTTTTAGTAGAGATGGCGTTTCACCATGTTGACCAGGCTGATCTCGAACTCCTGACCTCAAGTGATCCACCCACCTCAGCCTCCCAAAGTGCGGAGATTATAGGCATGAGCCACCAGAACTGGCCCTTAATTTAAATTTCTAACTATGAATCAGGCACTAGATTTCTCTCTGGAATGACATAAAGCCAACTGAATAATTTAAGGATATCCTGTCCCTCTGTACTTTCTTCTGCTTTTGGCAGAGATTTAGAATACACAGGGCAAAGGGAAGTACTGATACACATGTTGTGTTTTTGCTAGATAAATTCAGTGCTGTCATAAACCAGCTATTGAATGGTGTAGGCTATTTCCACAGCTGTCAAATGAAGTACTGTTTTCAGTGGCCAAAGACAGCTGTGGTTTCAAATGGGAGGGGAATGGAGCAAGAATCTGAAGATTTAATGCACAGATTAATTTTTTCATTTTATTTATTTATTTATTTATTGAGACAGAGTCTTGCTCCATTGCCAGGCTGGAGTGCAGTGGCCCAATCTCAGCTAACTGCAACCTCTGCTTCCTGAGTTCAAGAGATTCTCCTACCTTAGCCTCCCAAGTAGCTGGGACTACAGGTGCGTGCCACCATGCCGGGCTAATTTTTTGTATTTTTAGTAGAGACAGGATTTCAACATGTTGGCCAGAATGGTCTTGATCTCTCGATCTCGTAATCCACCTGCCTTGGCCTCCCAAAGTGCTAGGATTAACAAGCATGAGCCACAGCGCCCAGCCATATTATTTATTTTATTTCACACACTATGACTGTTCTAAGGAGTGAAAAGTCTACATGCGTCAAATTTAGGTTTCATGCTTAGTTTGTTTTTGATTGAGAAAGGGTGAAATGACAAAGGCAGGTTTTTTAAAAGCCTGTTTACTAAAATAGGTGTTTTTTTTCTTTTTTTTGCTCTGTCGCCCAGGCCAGATCTCAGCTCACTGCAAGCTCCGCCTCCCGGGTTTACGCCATTCTCCTGCCTCAGCCTCCTGAGTAGCTGGGACTACAGGCACCCGCCACCTCGCCCAGCTAGTTTTTTGTATTTTTTAGTAGAGACGGGTTTCACCGGGTTAACCAGGATGGTCTCAATCTCCTGACCTCGTGATCCACCCATCTCAGCCTCCCAAAGTACTGGGATTACAGGCTTGACCCACCGCGCCCGGCCACTAAAATAGGTTTTAACTAGGTTCAGTGACCTATGCTTGTAACCCAGCAGCTCAGGAGGCTGAACAGGGAGGATTGCTTGAGCCCTCACTTCAAGGCTGCAGTGAGCTGTGGTCATGCTACTGTACTTCAACCTAGGTGACAGTGAGAATTCCATCTCTTAAAAAAAAAAAAAGGAAGAATTTTGTTCTATAATACCAACATCATGTGAGCTTGGAGTTATTTTTAGTTTGAGCTACCTCTTATTTAATCTTAGATTGGAAAATCTTTTCCATTATTAATTAATTAATTAATTTTCTTTATTTGGAGGCAAAATCTTGCTGTGTTGCCCAGGTTGTAGTGCAGTGGTGCAATCTCAGCTCACTGCAGCCTCTGCCTTCCAGGTTCAAGTGATCCTCCTTCCTCAGCCTCCCAAGTAGCTGGGATTACAGGCACCTGCCACCACACCTGGCTAATTTTTGTATTTTTAGTAGAGACATGGTTTTGCCATGTTGGCCAGCCTGGTCTCAAACTTCTGACCTCAGATGATCTGGCCATCTTGGCTTTTCCATTCGTTAATTGATGTACAATACCTTATATATAGTAGGCCCTCAATACTGGTGGATTTGGGATGGGAAAAAGTGATGAATGGCCTGGTCAAGGCCACAAAATCAGGACTAAAATTAAAGAAAGAACATAGACCTTGTATTCTTCATCCTATGCCTTTTTTTCCATTGTTTAAAATTCTTTCCTTCCTCCAAGCCTGACCTGAAATCAGGTCAGAAGTCCATTCTCTTTGTAGCCATCTCTGATTGCTTCTGTTCTCCAACCTTGAGCTCAGGGAGCGTGTCTTATATTTATGATTTAGTGGCCTCCAAAATATCTGAGTCAGTTTGGGATATGTTGAAGCTGTTCAGGAAATAATTTAGATTGGTTTTAAGCTGGGTTTAAAACATCTTGCCAGGTGTGGTGTCTCACGCCTGGAATCCCAGCACTTTGGGAGGCTGAGGCGGGCCGATCACCTGAGGTCAGGAGTTCGAGACCAGCCTGACCAACATGGAGAAACCCTGTCTCTACTAAAAATGCAAAAATTAGCCAGGCATGGTGGCACATGTCTGTAATCCCAGCTACTCTGGAGGCTGAGGCAAGAACCCAAGAGGCAGAGGCTGTGGTGAGCCAAGATCACGCCATTGCACTCCAGCCTGACCAACAAGAGCGAAACTCCATCTCAAAAAAAAAAAAAATCTCATTAGCCAAAATGTTTTTAGTTCAAAGAACGACATTGAGACAACATTTTGGAGATCTAAGGTGTATTAGAGATGATATCTTCTCCTAAAAAGAAAGGCACAAGCAGAAAGGTGAAATGTCCTCCCAAGCCTACACAGCTTAATTGAAGCACCTGTATTCCTATAATCCTAAGGACATTCCCATAACCTTGCAGGTCAGTACTAAAGATTGGCTTTTTTATTTTTGTATTTAAGTGATCTATCCTGTTAACTGATGCTTTTTATTTTTACGTAAAATTTTCTGATTTTTCTAATACTGAGTTTTGTAATGTTCTGATTACTCTCTGCTTTGCAAGATACATCTACTGTTACTATGAAAGTACTGCTCTCTGGGCCCTGAGATTATTTTTTTTTTTATAAATTTCATGTAGAAACAGGGTTTCCCCATGTTGTCCAGGCTGGTCTCCAACTGCTGGGGTCAAGTGATCATCCCACCTTAGCCTCCCAAAGTGCTGGCATCACAGGCCTGAGCCACTGGGCCCAGCCTGAGATTTTTTTAAGTTGGATTTTAAGTCTTAAATTTGCATCTTTCAAACATGTTAATTACTTTGGATAATAAAGCTCGAATGATTTAATCCTCCAACAACCTTGTGAGGTAAGTACTTTTATTTCTGTTTTGGAGTTTGGATTGATTCCAAATGCACAGTATATACAAGAGCAGACAGGAGTGGTACTTCATTCATTTGAGGCAACTCCTGGCAACTTTAAGTTTCGGGCTGAGAAGGGGAAGGAGTCAGTACTCCTGATTCAGTGTTAAGTAGGTTTGTGCCTCCCACTGAGATAATGCATAGATGATAAGATAAGATGGTTTCTTCTGGAATCCTTTTAGAAAAGATCAGTGGAAATTCCCAGATAGAGCAGTCTATCGCTGATGTTCAAATAACCATGTTATTGTCTTGCAGCTTTTTCTTTCCTGTACTTACTTAAGATTTCTATAGGGTATTCTATTTAGGCAATCTCTTCCTGCATTGTAGTAAAAAACTTACACCTACATTCTTATTAGTATTTTTTTTAAGATCAATTCAAATCCAGATCTAAAAGAATGCATATAGTTGTATAACAAAATCGGTGATTTATATAATTTAAGCCTAAATATCTGTATATTTTGGCTGGGCACGGTGGCTCATGCCTGTAATTCTGGCACTTTGGGAAGCTGAGGTGGGCAGATTGCTTGAGCTCAGAAGTTGGAGACCAATCTGGCCAACATGGTGAAACGCTTTCTCTACTAAAAATACAAAAAGTAGCTGGGCGTGGTAGCATGCGCCTGTAATCCCAGCCACTCGGGGGGCTGAGGCAGGAGAATCACTTGAACCCAGGAGGTGGAGGTTGCAGTGAGCTGAGATTGCACCACTGCACTCCAGCCTGGGTGATAAAGCAAGGTTCTGTCTCAAAAAAAAAAAAAAAAAACAAAACTTGGAAATTTTACTTTTGTATTGGCTACTCAAGGCCAGTTTATCAGGCTGGATCCTATTTGAAGCTGGGAAGAATGGGAAGAAAACAGACACTGCTATCAGAGCAGCCTTAACTTACACCATTGCTTATCTTCTTTCTCATCTCTTCAGGATAGAGACCATCTTTATTATACTATCCCATTGTCAGACATAGATCCTGGAACACATCAGGGACTCAGTCAACTGAAAGGTGTAGTTAGGGAAAGGGAGAGTTGCTCTTTTTTGTAAGGTTGAGAGTCCCCATGCAGTAGCAGCAATGAGTGTTGGATGGATGGATGGATGGATGGATGGATGGATGGATGGATGGATTAATGTTTAAAAGCATTCTTTCAGTCATCCAGTCACAAAATTATGGAAAGGACTGAAATTCTCCCCTTTTCTCTTTCCTCCCTGTAGAACCTGCCAGCAAATTTTCCTCCACCTCTAGTCTCTGCTCCTTCTATTTCTTTGTTATGCTCCAGGTCAGGCCCTTCTAAACTCATGCCATTTTATAGCAATATTTTGCTGGTGGTCATGCTACCTCTTACCACACCTCCATGTAGCCTAGTACAGTTACTGCCTAATTTATCTTCCAAGGATACACTTTCATTCTGTTTATTAGAAAAGTTGAAAACCCTCTTATTCATGGTATAAAGACCACAATTTATAACCCAGAATTACTTGAACCTTCTTTTCCTTTGGTCTAGCTATAGTAGGTTTCTCGCTCTCTCCTGAAAGCTGTCCTTCAAAACCAGAATCTCTCCTCCATTAATCACTCCACTAACAAATATTTATATATATTGGTCCTGCGCTAGACACCCATATACACTGGCAGACAACACAGTGGTAGCCGCTACCCTGATGGGGCTTACAGTCTTCCTCTTTGAGGTCATGCCCAGTCACTCAGGCCCCCACTGAGCTTTCTCCTTTGCAATTCCTAAAATTGTATTGATCTTGCCCTTTGTCTTGTGACTGAATCTTTTAGTTGTTTAATTATACCATGGCTCTGTGCCTTATCTTCTCCACTAGATTGTAAACCCCTTGAAGGCAGAGGCAGGGCGGGGCATGGTGGCTCATGCCTGTAATCCCAGCGCTGAGTTGGGAGGATCTCTTGAGCCCAGGAGTTTGAAACCTGCCTGGTCAACATAGTGAGACCCTGTCTCTACAAAAGAAAAATTTAAAAATTAGCTAGATATGGTGGCACACACTGGTCATCCCAGCTACTGAGGAAGCTGAGGCAAGATGATCACTTGAGCCCAGGAGTTCGAGGCTGCAGTGAGCTATGATCATGCCTGCTGTACTTCACCCTGGGCAACAGAGCAGGACACCCTATCTCAAAAAAATAAAGTCAGAGGCAGACTTTAGTGCAAGTAGCAGTCACAAAACATATTCATTCAGTTTGAGAAAGTATATTCTGGTGATGTGTTATTTTTGTAAGGGTCACTTTTTGTCTTTGAAGGGATCTTTTGTGCATATAAAAATATTTAAGGATTATGAAAAAATAAAGTCTTTTTGCATCTTCTACCATCCAGAGATGGATATCACATATCCTTTTAGTCTTTTTCCCTCTACCTGTGCTATATGTTGTGTAATTTTTTTTTTTTTTTTCAGTAAAAAGCCTTTCATTTGTGGAAGGTTATTACTTTGGTGTTGAGTCAGTAAGGATGCTGATAGAGAAAATATAAGATTGAGGAATTTAAAAATTCCTCTGAAAAGTCTTTTCCACTTATGTATTTAGAAAAAAAACAGTTCTTTGAACTTTGATTAAATGTGGATCAGGTGGTTTCTTTGATCTGTTCAAAATATTTATGTTATATAAAAGGGTACTTTAACAACGTACTATATTACTTTTTCTTGTTGTCTTTGCCTTTAGTCTAGGATGATGTTAACTGCCTCTAGGTTTTAGAAATCTAAGATTTCTCATGTTGGTAGAAAATGAGATATTTAAAACATCTGTTATAGTGTTCTGAAGCTATAAATTTGAGCTATGTATAGGCTAACAAGCACACATAAAAAAGATCATAATTAAATTAATAGATGACTTTTTTTTTTTTTGAGATGGAGTCTTACTCTGTCACCCAGGCTGTAGTGCAGTGGCACGATCTTAGCTCACTGCCACCTCCGCCTCCTGGGTTCAAGCGATTCTTCTGCCTCAGCCTCCTGAGTAGCTGGGACTACAGGCACGTGCCTCCATGCCTGGCTAATTTTGTATTTTTAGTAGAGGCGGGGTTTCACTATATTGGCCAGGCTGGTCTCGAACTCCTGATCTCGTGATCCACCCGCCTCGGCCTCCCAAAGTGCTGGGATTACAGGCATGAGCCACTGTGCCTGGCTGCTAATAGATGACTCTTTTTTAAAAACCCTTACGGAAAACTTCTGTTTAGCAAGTATTTATTTTAAAATCTAGGGTTAATTGTATGTATCAAAGTTATTTTACCACTTTCTCTAAGGCAGAACTTGATTTAAAAAAAAAAATAAAGTAGGGCTGTCCTGGACTCCAGCCAAGGAATCTAGTTATCTGGTTTCTGACGAACCCAAAGGTCTCTGATATAAGGCAGTTCCATCCATGTAAATTAGGAAGATAATACTATTCAGAATTCAGAAATCATGTTGTAATTTGCTCTGCTCTTGTTCTGTTGCAATTCCTTTTTTTTTTTTTTTGGAGACCAAGTCTCACTCTGTCATCCTGGCCGGAGTGCAGTGGTATGATCTCAGCTCACCACAACTTCCGACTCCTGGGTTCAAGCAATTCTCCCACCAAAGCCTCTCAAGTAGCCAGGATTACAGGTGCCCACTACCATGTCTGGCTAATTGTTATTGTTGTGTTTTTTCTTTTTTTTTTTTTTTTGAGACAGAGTCTCACTCTGTCGCCCAGGCTGGAGTGCAGTGGTATGATCTCGGCTCACTGCAACCTCTACCTTCCAGGTTCAAGCAATTCTCCTGCCTCAGCCTCCCAAGTAGCTGGGATTACAGGCATGCGCCACCACTCCCAGCTGATTTTTTTGTATTTTTAGTAGAGACAGGGTTTCACCATGTTGGCCAGGCTGGTCTTGAACTCCTGACCTCAAGTGATCCACCTGCCTCAGCCTCCTAAAGTACGGGGATTACAGGCGTAAGCTACCATGCCTGGCCTTTGTTTTTTTGTTTGTTTGTTTATTTTTGTGTGTTTTTTTTTTTTTTTTTTTTTTTTTTGAGACGGAGTCTTGCTCTGTCGCCCAGGCTAGAGTGCAGTGGCCGGATCTCAGCTCACTGCAAGCTCCGCCTCCCGGGTTTACGCCATTCTCCTGCCTCAGCCTCCCGAGTAGCTGGGACTACAGGCGCCCGCCACCTCGCCCGGCTAGTTTTTTGTATTTTTTAGTAGAGACGGGGTTTCACCCGGTTAGCCAGGATGGTCTCGATCTCCTGACCTCGTGATCCGCCCGCCTCGGCCTCCCAAAGTGCTGGGATTACAGGCTTGAGCCACCGCGCCCGGCCTATTTTTGTTTTTGTTTTTCAGAAAGAGCCATATTACTTTTTATAATTGTCTCTTATGCCTTCTTGCCAGGTGCCTTTGGAGCAGGTGCTTTCTGGGCTGGAGCTTTTTGACCCTTCTGAGTTTTTGGAGGGGGTGCTGCCTTCTGTCATGTGGCTTTCTGGACAGGAACCTTCTGGGCTGGAGCCTTCTTGCCCACAGCGGTCATCTTTTTTTGCTGTAACTTTAGCAGCAGCCGCTTTTTTGGGAGAAGCTTTCAGGAGAGCTGCCTTTTGAAGCTTCTTTACTTGATGTTTTATTATTCTGTCTCTCATTTTCTTTGCCCTCATTACTTTAAAATGATCAGAATCTGTCATCTTGGCTTTCCTTTCTCTGGCTTCAATCTTTTTGGCCCATCTTGTGGCTGCCCATTTTGTATTGATGTCTGCCTTCTGCCAGGCTTGTGGGACATACTTCTGGCGGGAACCGTGTGGAAACTTGAGGATGAAATCAGTGAGCTGCATGTACTTGAAAGGCATGGCCTGTCTCCTCACTTGAGTGCCCTGTTCTGATCAGTAACATCTATGATCACAATTAATTTTCCAGCATGAGGTCCAAAGGAGATGTAGGCTACCCGGCCAACCTCCACAAAGCGCCTGAACACCATCTTGGCGGCGTTTGCAGAGAAGGAATTCATTTTTAATTGTAGTTGTGAACAAGGTATTTTGAGAGATAGTATTGAATAAATTGTGTCCAGGTATCCACAACATATAAATATGTGTTTATTTATTGAGACATGGTCTTGCTGTGTTGCCCAGGTTGGAGTGTGGTGGCAGGATCATGGCTTACTGCAGCATCAACCTTCCACACTCAAGAGATTCTCCCACTTCAGCCTGCCAAGTAGCTGTGGCTTGCACCATCATACCCAGCTAATTTTTCCTACTTTTTTGGAGAGATGGGATCTCATTATGTTGCCCAGGCTCGTCTTAAATTCCTGGGTGCAGGGGATCCTTACACCTCATCCTCCTAAAGTGCTGGAATTACAGGCATGAGCCACTACGCCCAGCCGTCCATGAAATATTTTAATGCTATGGAAAGTGTTTAGGGCGTATGAGCTAAGCACATTTCATCATCACTTCTTGGCCTTTTGGCTAAGATCAAGGGTAGCACATTTCATCCACCTGTTTTATTAGCTTAGAGCTTTTAAATGTAATCTTAGTTTCTCTGTAGAACAGTGGTTCTTAAATTTTTTTGTGCCTGGATTCTTCTGGCAATCTGATATAGCCTATAAGCGCTTCTCAGAATAATTTTTTTTAAGTGCTAAAAAAACTACATAAGATTAAAGGGAAAACCAATTGGGCTGAAGTACAGTTATTAAAAAAAATTTTTTTTTTTTTTTGCTATACCACAATAACAGTAATAAAATATTTTTTAATTGTGACATAGTAATTAATGCCTGTACTTCTTTAGTACTGCATTAAATAAGATCTGGTGGCAGATGTAATAACTACCGTGATTTTGAGGTAGGGGTGAGAAGAGTGCTAAGAGGGGTAAGATGTCTGCCACAACTGTAATATGCTATAAAAATATCTGTGGTGATAAAGTCACAGATATCACGGACACTGTTGTGGTTTGCACCTCCATTTATGATGGGAGAAAATCCTGTTTTTCACCTAGAGGTTAGTGAAAATAGGATAGGTTTGTTTGTGTGCCTCTTTTTGCCATCCAAATTTGCAGATACCCCGATTTCTACCCATGGACATTGCTACAAAGCCATTCTTTTTCCAATTCTAAGTGCAGATTTGACCCAGATTTCCTGCAAGTAGCCAAATGCCTCTGTTGCTGGGACTTGTCTTGGCAGAGCTATAGCAAGCAGAATGTGTTGCTAAAGTTTCTCTGGCAGTTTTTGTCAGAATCAGGAGCTCTCATCAGGACCTGTTTCAGTTGGAGAAAACACTGAACTTTAGTCAAATTTGAACTGTGGTACTTATATTTGCTTTATTCTTTGCTTGGCTGTTGGGTAATAAAATGTGCTTATCTCCCTAAACCTAAGTTTGCTTGTTGATACTGGGTGGTACAAACCAAATATGGGTAAGAACTTCTTTTAAATGTAGCTTGACTGTGCCAAGGCCATTTCCGTACACTTGAGATTCCTGCTTAATAAACTGGCAGCTACTAGAAAATGTATCCACTAAGAAGAGCAGTCTCAGGCCAGGCACAGTGGCTCACACCTGTAATCCCAGCTCTTTGAGAGGCCGAGGCAGAAGGATCCATTGAGCTCAGGAGTTCGAGACTAGCCTGGGCAACATAGGGAGACCTCGCTTCTTTAAAAAAAAAAAAAAAATTAGCCATCGATGGTGGCACACACCTGTAGTCCCAGGCACTTGGGAGGCTGAGATAGGAGGATAGCTTGACCCCAGGAGGTCGAGGTTGGTCAAGGCTGCAGTGAGCTGTAGAACTCCAGCCTGGGCAACAGAGGGAAACCCTGTCTTCAAAAAAAAAAAAAAAAAAAAAATTGAAGAAAGAAAGGCAGTCTCAGACAAGTCAAATCAAAATAGTATATATTGACTTTTGCAGTTTGCCTCTCCTTAGGACATTCTGGATATGCCTAGCTGGACTATCCCATTAAAAAGGGACCTAGGGAGATACCATGTATCAGGAGATCTGTGTCAAAATTTTACCTTAGGATGGGCCTGGATTTGGGTTTGGTTTGTGAGTTCTGTGGGGATGCCGCCTCAGGACCAGGGTTGTGTCAAAGTCTAGGATAGACCAGGGCTTCCTTACATAATTCTTGGACAAGGATGCCTGCCTGTGCTTCAAATCCAGCCTGCACTTTCCTTGCCATGTTTTGTTCCCTGGTGAGGAGGGGGTGCATTTACCCAGGAAAGGGACCTTTTCTAATTCACAGAAAGGCAACCTGAGAGCCCAGAAAGATCACATTTTCTTTTTATTTTTTGACACAGAGTCTCACTCTGTCGCTCAGGCTGTACAACCTCCACTTCCCAGGTTCAAGCGATTCTCCTACCTTAGCCTCACGAGTAGCTGGGACTGCAGGCACATGCCACCGGGCCCAGCTAATTTTTGTATTTTTATTAGAGACAAGGTTTCACCATGTTGGCCAGGCTGGTCTCAAATTCCTGACCTCATGTGATCTGCCCACTTTGGCCTCCCCAAGTGCTGGGATTACAGGCATGAGCCACTGTGCCCCTCCCGAGATCACATTTTCTAACTTAGGCAAGCACCACCTCTATAAGAGGTGGCTCTAGGCCACATACATATTCAAGGACTAGAATTGAATGAGTATTTGAGAAGCAGAAGAATTAGAGCCAAAGGCCAGAGCAATTTTTTTTTTTTTTTTTTTTTTGAGACTGAGTCTTACTCTGTTGCCCAGGCTAGAGTGCAATGGTACAATCTCAGCTCACTGCAACCTCTGCCTCCTGGGTTCAAACAGTTCTCCCACCTGAGCCTCCTGAGTAGCTGGAATTACAGACGTGATCCACCACGCCCAGCTAATTTTTGTATTTTTAGTAGAGACGGGATTTCACCATGTTGGCTAGGTTGGTCTCAAACTCCTGTTCTCAGGTGATCCACCTGCCTCAGCCTTCCAAAGTGCTGGGATGACAGGTGTGAGCCACTGCACCTGGTGTACCAGATCTTGTTCTAGGTGCAGGGGCTGTAACAATAATTAAAATCAGGCTTTCTGTCCTCAGGAAGGCCACAGTTTTAGCATTTGTGCATAAAATGATACCTTATACTATAGTACCATTTACTTAGCTTCTAATATATTCATGACGTTACATATTCTCATTATAGTTAACTTCGAATTTTGGAGTTTTATCATTACTTGTCAGAATGATGTTGTGCATAGAAATAAATAGGATATGTACATTGTTAAATAATAATTCTGGGAGGCAAATGCCAGTCCATACATATTCTAAGGCGTCAACAATTAAAGTTACACAATACCACTGAAAAATAGACCTATTGATTTTTTTATAAAAGGAATTATTCTTTATGGAATAAGGAAGTAACTTGAAATTGACTTTGTTTATAGGAATCTAATGTATGACAAAGTAGGAAACCCAAGACAATATGAAAAGAAAAGATTGTTTATTAAATAACCTATTAATAATTTGAAAAATAGCCAGCGTGGTACAACCTCATTTCTACTAAAAGTACAAAAATTAGCTGGGCATGGTGACACACATCTGTCGTCGCAGCTACTGGGGAGGCTGAGGTAGGAGAATCCCTTGAACCCAGGAGGCCGAGGTTGCAATGAGCCAAGATCATGCCACTGCATTCCCGCCTGGGCAACAGGAGAGACTCCATCTCAAAATAACAATAATTTGAAAAACCAATCAAGATCACTACATTAATATATATACTACAAATAGAATCAGAACTAAATATGAAGAATTATAAAATTGGCTATTTATTGAAACTCTAAAATGAACACAGGAGGAAAGATAGTTTTGTAGGCCCAGAAAAATAAAGCAATTATAAAGGAATATATATTTTCTTTTCTTTTCTTTCTTTTTTTTTTTTTTTTGAGGCAGAGTTTCACTCTTATTGCCCAGGCTGGAGTGCAGTTATGTGACCCTGGCTCACTGCAACCTCCGCCTCCTGGGTTCAAGCAATTCTCCAGCCCCAGCCTCCTAGTAGCTGGGATTACAGGTGCCCACCACCACGTCCAGTTAATTTTTTGTATTTTCAGTAGAGATGGGGTTTCACCACGTTGGCCAGGCTGGTCTTGAACAACTGACCTCAAATGATCTGCCCGCTTCAGAGTGCTGGGATTACAGGGGTGAGCCACAGCACCCACCCTGTAAATGAAAATATTGACACTTTTCATTTTATTTTATTTATTTTATCTTTTGAGGCACCTTTGCACCATATAGTAACATTAAAATATTATAAAAGTTTAAAATATAGTCAAAGTAAAAAGGCAAATAGCACATCAGAAAATGTACCTCTAGGAAATTTTCATTTCAGTACAAATACTAAAAATAGACATCTAGACTAAAAATATGAACAAATATGACTTAGGAAAAAAGCACATAATAAATATATCGTGGTGTATCATGTCCTTTGGGGGATAAATATCAAATAAAACAGGTTATTAGTTTACTAGCAACAAAAAACTACAACACACAAAACTGGCATTTACTAAAACTGGTGTTCTCATATATTTGTATTTAAAATTTTCACATCCCGTTAGGAAAGGTTTTTTGTGATATGTATCAAGCACTCAAAAATAATTTACATTTTTTTTTTTTTTTTTTGAGACGGAGTCTCACTCTGTCGCCCAGGCTGGAGTGCAGTGGCGCGATCTCGGCTCACTGCAAGCTCCGCCTCCCGGGTTCACGCCATTGCCCTGCCTCAGCCTCCTGAGTAGCTGGGACTACAGGCGCTTGTCACCGCCCCCGGCTAATTTTTTGTATTTTTAGTAGAGACGGGGTTTCACCATGGTCTCGATCTCCTGACCTTGTGATCCGCCTGCCTTGGCCTCCCAAAGTGCTGAGATTACAGGCGTGAGCCACCGCACCCAGCCTTAAAAATTTTTTTTTTTTTTTTTTTTTTTGTTGAGATGGAGTCTAGCTCTGTCACCCAGGCTGGAATGCAGTGGTGCAATCTCAGCTCACTGCAACCTGTGCCTCCAGGGTTCAAGCAATTTTCCTGCCTCAGCCTCCCGAGTAGCTGGGATTATAGGCGCACACCACCATGTCCTACCAATTTTGTATTTTTAGTAGAG